TTTTTTTTTGCTATTTGTTTTCAATTTGCTTAAATGGAGGATCAATTAATCGCATCTCCACACTGAGGGCTTCCTACGGCAGTGTACGATGATGTGCATAATGAGAAAGAGGGAAAAAACAACGGCACGGAGTTGGGATGGCCTGATCAGACCATCCCGACGCCATGAGAGCGCGCCGGAGCGATCACACAGGGGAAAGTCTGTCTGTGGCCTGTAGCAACCCGTTTGATACTGGACGTTCCCTGGTATTTTTTAACTCCGCTTCTTCGGCAGAGTGAGAAAGGTGCGGGACGCTTGCCAGATGTTCCCATGTGATTGCGCCCTTAAAATCCACTCGGACTGTGTCACTAATTCTGCATGTCATTGGGACCTCTGACTCTCTTCCTGGCCTCTAAGGTGCTCCGGGACTCAATTCTAACTTGATTCTGTAGACCAATATTTATTTATTTTATTCAAATTATGAATTGCCCACCCGGCAGAGCAGGCTCTGGGCGATTTACAACACTATAAACACTTCAATATACCCTTGATATATAATTAAAATCACAAATAATAAACATGAAATTAGAACCAATCAGGTTGGCGATAAGTAGTCCTCCATTGCCAGCCACAACGCTATCCTGAAGGGCAGGGCACGGCAGGGTATGTGGGGGCCATCAAGGGGAAAAAAGAGAGAAAGGGTGCCAGTCTCAGCCTCCTTTTGCTGCCCTTAACTAAAAGCCTGGTGAAACATCTCTGCCAATATGGCTATCCTCTGAAGAAATCTGGAAGTTAATATAAGGTACGGAAACGTCTTCGGACAGCGCTGGCTCTTCGGCTTTGAAACGGAGATGAGCACCGCAACCCTAGAGTCGGATTCGACTGGCTTTCGAGCAAGGGAACCTTTACCTTTTAATAGAACTTATAATTTCACAACATTCCCTTATATTAGTCAAGTGGGTTCATTTGAAGACCTTCCCTAAGGTCACAGATTCGAGTAGCCAGTTCAACTAGTTGAGAGGGCTTGCATGAACCTGTTCGAATTGCTCCTTAGATTAAAACTGTTTGAGCTACTCTTCATTCTTCTGGTCTCTGTGCTGGAACCCAGAAACATTACCGGTAAGATTGCAGATCTTTTTTTGCACAGTGTCTTATGGGCAACCCTCTGCCCTGGCAAACACTAAGCAAAGGGAATCGTGATACAACTGAACTGTCCCGTCACATCAGTGGTGTTCTTTTGCACTCATTTTCCCAATGAGCACATTGGGGAAAGGCGTGAATGAGAAGAAGGACCTCAAAGCTGCAGCCAGCTGTGCGTGTAGTTCCAAATTTGACAATAGAAAACAAAACAACGGAAGATCCCTAATACATCCTTTCCCCTTTGGAAACCAAGGCAAGTCATTTGGAACTCCATGATGGGAGGATAAAGTCAAGTCAGGAGAAATCCTGAACCTTCCTCCCATTAAGCAGTCTGGGGCCAATACATGGCTGGGCAGTGAACTGGTGTCCCAACCCAAGTCAATAAATTTAAGCATGAAAAACTTTGTCGGGTAGGAAAATAGAAAAGACAAAGCACAGACAGATAAAAGGTTTGCAGGCTTCTTCCTAGAATCTGTCCCAGAGATCAGACCTTATGTGCTATGCGTGGTTCAGATATGTAAAAGCATAAAGAAGTGACACGGTGGCAGAATGGACTGCAGGCGGTGAATTCCAAGTAGAACTGTTAAAAATACATTTAAAAAGTAGAAAACCTGCACAGGTGGAGAAATGTTTCTGCCTCCTCCCTTGCTTGCTGTTTTAGTTCTCTATTCGTAAGGAGCTTTTAACATGGAGCTATTTAACGTTCCAAAATGTGGTCCTCCTGGGTCTTCCACTTGCTGTTTCTGTAGCAGTACATTCCACCACCTCTTTTTTAGAGTTGCCAACCTCCAGGTGGGGCCTAGAGATCTCCAGGATTAGAACAGATCTCCAGGTGACAGAGATCAGTTCTCCTGGAGAAAATGGCTGCTTTGGAGGGTGGACTCTATGGGATTATCCTGCTTTTCCCCAAGCCCGGCTCTCTCCAGGTTCCACCTCCCATATCTCCATGGATTTCCCAACCCAGAGCTGGCAACCTTAGACTTTTCCCGGGCTCCCCCATCATTTTCATTTTTCATCAAGTGCAGAACGGAACCTTCAAGGAGGACATTTCTATAAAGGGAGAAGAGTTGTCATTTAATTGTCTGTGAAATTTTTAGGCAGTTTCCCCCTCCACCCTCATACCGCATTGTTCATTGGATGGATTTGACTGTCCTTATTACTCTTGTTATCCAACTGTGTAATCCATTTTTATTACGTATTTATTGTACGCCTTTACTAGTCTTTATTAGAGTGTTTTGTAATTTTGTAATTCTGCCTGGAGTCCCAATGGTGCCTTCCACACAGAGATGAGATTTTGTGGTTTCTCCATTGATGATGTGGGTGTAACGGGGAAGTTACATGGCCCGTTTCCCCATAGTTTTGTGTCCCATGGCACCCTCCCCAGGCGACCAGGGTTTTTGTATTTAAAAAACCCCACCAGGCATGAGAATGCTATTATATCAATACACCCTTCTAACAATTGGTACAGCAAGTTCTCTGAATTCCCAGCTCTCAATTGGTTTTACGGTAAGGCTCTTTCGTATTAGCCCTTTCCCTAGTGAAGATATGCTTTTTTCCTTATATCTTCGCAAGGAAAGATCGTAGAGTCTTACCTTTTTAAAAATGAAAGCTGAGAATTCAGGGAACCAGCTAAACCAATAGTAACAATGGCATATAAAGATATTCTAGTGCCAATTTTGTTAAAAATAGAATGCCTCCCAGTGGCACGGGGAGAAAACGGCTGCTTTGGGAACATGGTCAGGGAAAACGGCTGCCAAGTGGCCCAGAAAAACTAACTGTCCCCCCCACACACACACATATCAGCCATCTAGGCCAGGGGTGTCGAACTCATTTGTCATGAGGGCTGGATCTGACATAAATGAGACCTTGTTGGGCCAGGCCATGTGTGTCATAAAATGTAATGGCATATTGCGGAGATATAAACTTTATAAAGGACACAAACACAAAGGGTTTTTTTACTTAAAATAAAAACATGCTTAAAACAGCATGCTTGCAAAATTTTGTTTATTTAACAGTGTCTGATAAATGACACCTCTTGCTCTGAGTTATTGCATCAAAATGTCTGTGCTGTTGCAATCCTGAGTATGCTTTTCAGGTGTGTATCTGTAAGCTGCAAATCTATGATGACGCAGCAGCAGCAGAACGAGAAGAAGAAGCAGAAGACTGCCAGTTCCACTGTGAACCTGATAGAAGCCCTCTGGGGGCCTGAACCGGCCCTTGGGCCTCATGTTTGACACCCCTGATCTAGGCTTTACTGCAGTCTTTCCCAAAACTCTGGAGCAAAGCAGGTTTCAGAAGGTTTGCAGAAAAGCCCAGGAAACCCCTGGAGGTACACTACATGACGATGTGGGGAAGCGGAAAGAACCCACTTCCCAAAAGCGTTGAGTTGGGGGCAGATAACTTGTGTGGGAGACACAGTGAGAATGGTTGGTGATAAATGAAGTGAGATAAATAAAATAAGCCATGTGTCAGCCAGGCCTGTGCCTTGTGTTGCCAGCTCTGGGTTGGAAAATACCTGGAGATTTGTGGGGTGGAGCCTGGGGAGGGTGAGAGATGGGGAGGACCTCAGCAGGGTATAATGTCACAGAGTCCACCTTCCAAAGCATCTATTTTATCCAGCGAAACTGATCCTGGTTCCTCTGGAGATCAACTGTAACCTAGGTTCCCTTTAAGCTGCGCCAAGCTGTGCTGGCGCACCGATTTCCCCTGGGCAGCGCAGCAATTGTTACCACAGTGCAGTAGGGGCGAGAGGTTCCCTTCCCAATGGCCATGCAGCACGGGTCCATTTGCTTAGGCAGCACAGAAACACAGCAGTATGCTTTGTGTTTCCTAATCTGGCCTGGCCCCGCCTCCCCTCAGTTGTGGTTTGCTTGCCCTATGAAAGGGGGCGCTGCTACCCTCCCCCGCAGTCCTCTGCCTCGTGCTCCTGGAGATACCCGGGCCCAGAAGGAGGACTGCTCTGTTGCCCAGCTTCTGCCCTTCCTGAGGTGAGCTGCCTGGTTGTTCGTTTTGTCTTGGGATGGGGAGCTGGGCTCAGCAGCCTGTTAGAGGCGATCTGGTGGCTTCTGGTGCTTTGCAGAGTGACTCTCTGTGCACTTAAACTTGTAAAGTTAGTTGGAAAAGGTATGGGGGGGGGAGCCGGGCTCAGCAGCCTGTTGGAGGTGATCTGGTGGCTTCTGGTGCTCTGCAAAGTGACTCTCTGTGCCCTTAAGCCATCGAAATTAGTTGGAGAAGTGGGGGGGAGCCGGGCTCAGCAGCATGCTAGAGGCGATCTGGTGGCTTCTGGTGCTTTGCAAAGTGACTCTCTGTGCCCTTAAGCCTGGGAAGTTAAGTAATACAAATATGTTTCATATAAATATAAATAAGTTTAATATAAACATATGGCTTGTAATACAAATGATAATAGTTTATATGTTGTTTGTATGTTTGTACACTTTAATAATTTTTTTTAATGTAAGCCCACTCACAGTTTTAACGCTAGGAGCAGTTTTGGCTCACAGGGTAAAATTTCTGCTCACGAGACTGCACACCTTAGAGGGAACATTGACTGTAACAGAAGGAGATCTCCAGGTGCCACCTGGAGGCTGGCAACCCTCTGGTCTCTCCAAACTCTGTCTCTTCAAACTGCAAGTCAGATAGATGGTCCTTCATAACTCCCTTCCCCAATTTACCCACACAGAAAACTAAATGCCAGGATGAAGGGCAGGGCTCTTCTCCATAACAAGCTCTTTCCCCGAGTTTTATGTCGAAGAGCATTCAGTCTTGTGTGTCCGCCCCACACACCAGAAGACCACCTCAGGGAGAACGAGGCCCCCGTTCCCACCAGTGCCAAGGAAGCCCCTTCCCTGTTAATTCCCACATGCCCTCCTAGTCTAAGATACCTTTCTTCCAGCCTCATTGTTGTGTAAGTTCATCAGTCTCCGAGCACTCTTTCGGATTTCTCGGGCATCAACAAACCTCCTGGAGAATTCGATGCCGTATCGGATATCGGCGGAGCAGCCTCCCCATTTCCACCCTTCCTCTTGGTTGTAGTAACCTTGTTTCTCTCGATCGCAGCCGCAGTTGCTCAAGTTCCCCTGGCTGCAGGCAGCGGTCACGGCGTGGGCAACCCCAGCAGCGGTGATGGCGTAGGTGAAAGCGGCTTCCCTGCTTCCTGTGGAAATGTTTAAGAACAGGCCAGCGTCAAGGGCAGGGAGGAGACAGAAGGAAGCCATGCTCATTCAAGAAAGTGGTTTGAGCAGCCCAGATGGACTCCACTGCTCAGGTTGATGGTGCTTTTGTTCTGCAACCTGGACTGGGACTCAGCCGCAGCTCACAAAGCAGTTGGATGGAGGCAAGAGGCCTCCATGGCTGGTGGGGACTCAGGGACATGAGGCCTTCATTGCAGAGGGCTGCTGGCTCACCAGCGTGAAGACACAGAGCTTAGGGTTGCCAACCTCCAGGCGGCAACCGGAGATTTCCCGCTATTACAATGGATCTCCAGATGACCAAAATCAGTTCCCCTGGAGCAGAATCTAGTGGGTACTGATGCACCCTGCCCCAATGTGGAGTACACATATTTTTTTTAAGTTGCCAGCCTCCAGGTGGTGGCTGGAGATCCCTGGGATTACAATTGATCTCCAGACGACAGAGATCAGTTCACCTGGAGAAAATGGCTGCTTTGAAGGATGGACTCTGTGGCCTTAAGGTCCCTCCCCTCCCCAAACCCCGCTTTTCCCAGGCTCCACCCCCAAAATTTCCAGGAATTTCCCAAGCCAGAGCTGCATGCATGCCCCTCACAGCCACGTGCCTGTATGCCATGGTGCTAGAGACCCCACGTAGCTACTACTTTGTGACACTTTGGTAAAGATGTCCAGTTCCCACAGCTCACCTACAAAGGGCCACCTCATACACCGCCACTGTTGGGGTTTGAAAATGATGTAAGGTTGCCAGGTCCGGATTGGGAAATACCTGGAAATTTGGAGGGGTGGCACCTGAGGAGGGTGGGATGGGGAGAGGGGAGGAACTTCAAAGGGGTATAACACCATAGAGTCCACCTTCCAGAGCAGCCATTTTCTCCGGTGAACTGATCTCTGTCGCCTGGCAATCAGTTGTAATCCCAAGTGTCTCCAGCCTCCCCCCCGATTTTGTGAAGAGGAATTAGAAACATCTATATTTGGACTTTTCACTTTTTGAGGAATTTGACTTGGACTATTTCTGAAGGTGTATTAATAGGACTGTTTTTGTATTTGGACCGTGTCCTTTTGAGTTTCTGATCATCATATTGTATTTATGAAAAGCTACTCTATTTGAATAGGTCTAGATTTTTATACTCATTGATTGTTGACTGTGTTTTTCGTTATTCATGCTTGGTTTGATCTTTTGTATCTTTCAGATTACTTACGACCTGGAGGCCAGCAGCTCTAAAAATATGTGTACTCCCCATTTGGGCAGGATGCATCAGTACCCACTAGATTCTGCTCTGGCACTGGTCGGACTTTCCAGGTTGAAGAAGAAGAGACTGGATTTATACCCCGCCCTTCACTACCCAAGGGAGTCTCAGAGCGGCTTACACACTCCTTTCCCTTCCCCTCCCCACAACAGACTCCCTGTGAGGTAGGTGGGGCTAAGAGAGCTCTGATAGAAACTACTCTTTTTCAAGAACAGCTGTGCCAGAACTACGGCTTGTTCAAGGTCCTCCAGCAGGTGCAAGTGGAGGAGTGGGGAATCAAACCCGGTTCTCCCAGATTAGAGTCTGCGCACTTAACCACCACAGCAAACTGGCTCAACCACCAAACTGGTTGAGTCTTTGCCCTGCTTTTAGGTCTTTGCACATGTAAGATCTCAGGGTCAGTCTCTGGTAACTTAAAGTATAGGGTTTCAAGTAATGGAAGTAGGAAAGGCACTGGCTGAGACCCTTGAGGGGTGCTGGCAATCAGGGCAGACCATGCTGGGCAAGAGAGGTGGGCGGTCTGACTCAGGAATAGCTGCACTTTATGAGTTTATTCCAGAACCAAATAAACTGGGCCAGCTCTTCCTAGCAGGCATTTGCCACACATTGAGCCATCCACCCTACTGCACCCTTCTGTATCATGTGGGGTTAGCCAAGTGCTTGAAGGGTCTGAGCCAGTGTTCCCTCTAAACTGAGTTAGCGTGAGCTAGCTCTCAGTTTTTTAGCCTCCGGCTCACACATTTTTGTCTTCGCTCAGGAAGGAGGGCTCTAGAGCAAACTGATTTATGCAATAGCCAAATCGCTCACTCACAACTTTAATGCCAGTAGCTTAAAAAGCAGATTTTTTGATCACAAGACTCCACAGCTTAGAGGGAGTATTGGTCTGAGCATGATTTTTTGGGGGCTCCCTTCAAGTCAGCACAGAAGGGGATATTTTTTTCACCCGCTCCACATGGTTTGTAGGGTTTTTTTGGGGGGAGGAACCACAATTAAGTAAGCCTAAGCCATAATTAAGGGCTGCAGGAATCATGCAGGTTGCTAGAACACAGGCAGGGCTCATTAACTAGCACCCTGAAGGCTATTCTGAAGCCAGTCCATCATTGACTGCAGCAGCTGTGCTGACACCCTTGGTGCTCAACGGCATTAACTGATTCCTTACTTGCTTGAATGGCATGTAGGGGGAGGGTGATGAGGCTTGAGGCCTCCCAGCGGAGATCTGATGTGCAGAAGATAAACAAAGCCAGTTTGGAGCCTGGACAAAGCTGCTCCTCAATGCTGGTACTCATCTGGACTGCCTGTTAGCAACAACCTGCACTAAAGTGTTAGAATGATATTTTGATAGTGCAGATTAGCTATACAGAAAACTCACTTTAACCTACAGGCTTGGTGTTGCATGTCTTCATTCAGGGGTACAATAGATACAATTAATTTAGCAGAATATACTATGTGGGTAGGAGGGTGGATAAGATAAGGCACACTATGAAATACAGATTATTTAAAGGCATGAGGAATGCAAAAGACATTCATCTGCTCAGCTGAACTAGTGTTTCTAATGGTGCCTTTTTGTTGGGTTTTAGTGTCATCCCTTCAGTTATGAAAGGGTTAAGCTGTTGTTTCTGTATGCTAATATTAGCTAGTTAGCTTAGAACCAATTAACTGTGGAGTAGAATCTTCCCTCCAGAAAGAGGGAGGTCCTATTCTTAATGAGGTGACCTTAAGATTGGCTATTGGCTAATCAATATATTGGAGATGGTACATGCTAGTTGGCAAGTACAACGGGGTGGAGCTTTTGGGGGAAACATCTTCTCCTTTGTTCTCACACACAGAGAGACATGATGCAGACAGACAAGGGAGTCAGATAGGATGAATTAGGCTGTTATTGTTTTTCCTCCCCATGTAACCCTTCCCTAATTTTTCTTTTTAGTAAACTTTTCTTAGAAGCTAATCACACATACGTGTCTGTGGCTAATTTATTTCCACTGCGCCACTCTGCTAAGTATCCAACACTTTTCTACAGAAAAAGCACAACTGCACTTCTCTGATGGCTTGTCGAAATTTGTGCAGAAGTGTGTTTTTATCATAATTCTATTCTGTCTTTTTCATATCCTGTTTCCCTCTCTTCATTGTTTTTGCAGACATTCTGCCATTTCATTTGTGACTTGGGTTGTCATTATGATTTGCTTAGCCCGTTCCCCAACAGATTCATTATGATCTGTAATAACAATATTGCTGCAAATATTGGCTAAGCATGCCTTTATTAGGTTAATGGCTCAGAATGGTTGGCTAATTGTTCAGATAGACTCTCCGAATCAGCTTCTGGTAAGTTTCCATAAGATCTTGAAGGCAGCCCCTGCCATCTGAAGAGAGAAGGTGCATGGCTGTGATCACATAGAAAAAGCAACATCTGTAACTGCTGGTTGAAACAAAGTTAATTCACAGTGATCAATTTAATAGGGCTATGTTGCCTTTTGGTGCTTAAAAGAATGAGTGGTGGCTAATTTCTTGTGGTGGGGGAAAGAAGGATCTGCAAACTTTCATTTTGGGCAGGGAGTGGATACCATTTTTGCAATAATCTCGAAAATCACCTTTGATTTACAAAAATGAGATTAACATTCATTCTTCTAATTTACCATAAAGAAGGAAAGTAAAACAGAAGTGCATAATGCCAGCCTAATCTCACCTCTGGGAAATAGAAAGGGCCCTTAAAAAAAAAAAAGCCTTCACATAAAGTAATGCATTTTAATTGCATTTTAATAATTTATCTTAAAAAATAACATTTTAAAACATGATGAAAATTAATGCAATAGTAGTGCAGAAGAATCACTCAAATTCAGACTTTTTTTGAAAAAGAAAGGGTGGAGTGAAGCAAGCATTAAGGAACATAAAAAGAGCCATAAATCAACAGGGTTCTACATCCATCCTATGTATAGTTACTCCAGCCTCAACTCATTGAAATGAATGGGTTTAGACTGGAGTAATTCTTCTTAGGATTGCACTGTACAATACATAAATATAGTGATTTTTCTGGGAACCAGTAACAGAAAATAGGGCCTGTCCACAGTGCAGATAATTCTGCAATAACTTTTAAAGATCTAGGGCTGGAGCCAAAGGTTATGTTCTACTAGCAGTGGCACTTCCTTTTGACACGGCACAAAGAGCTCTCTGCGGCAGGGGTCCCGATGTGGTGCCAGCCAACCCCTTTCCTGGTGCCCACCAAGTGTTTCTTAGGAAGTGGGCCAAGTGAGGCTTTTGCCCAGCAAGGCCTCTGGTTTGCCACTGGCAATTTGATTGGCTTTGCAGATTTTATTTTTTAAGAAGACTGCCACCACAGCACTGCTGCCACCACAGGACAAGGATCTTCACAGTGTAATTGAAAGTAAGCTGGGGCAGCCACTTTGTTGCTGGCTCTGCCTCCTGCAGCACGCATTTTGTGGCAGCCATTTTGTGGCTGTGCCCGCCACACTGTGTTAGAAGTCCAAAGGTGTCCTAGGGCTCCAAAGGTTGGGGACCCCTGCTCTGCTGGTTCAGGGGGCCTTTTTCCAGTGGGACATACCTTTTCTTGCAAGAGAAGGTTATTTGCATCCAGCTCCTATTGCTTATTTACAATTTAAATATTTACTGATTCAATTTATATCCCTCTTTTGCATTTGTAGGTGCAAGGTGCTCACACTATGATTGGTATGGCAGAACCGCATGGAAATTCAGAAGGGAAAAACAATGGT